ATAAACCATTAGTGCAGCCAACAACAATGAATTACACTGAGTGAAAGAAGCCAGAGCAAAACACAAAGTAACCCTAAGTCTATATTGTATGTACATCAAATTCTAGAAATAGCTTATCTGCAGTAACAAGCAGATCCATGGTCCTAGGGTGGCAGGGTCCTGGTGGGTGAGTTGGAGAGCAAGTACTATTGTGACCTTTATTAGGGTGGTGGCTTCATAGTGGATACAGAAGCCACACTGAGAAACTATTGGTCACCCCTAAACACATGCAGTTCACTGTGTGCTAGTCACACTTCAATGAATCTGTTTTAAAGAAGGACTTCAGGTCCTCAGATCAAACCAAGGATGGGGAGGAGGCATTAAAGTCAGAGGATCAAGAGGAAGGTCAAGACTGACACATGGAAATGTCAAGAGACCAACAGGCCACCGATGGCCCTGAGGCATCTGTCCTACCCCAGCTCCCTGCTATGAAGGCAACAGCATGTACCTCTGTGTGGTTTAATGTTCAAACGATCAGGCTATTTCAGCAAGCACAGCATGGATGCAGGGGCTGCTCCCCTTTCTCACAAGTTCCCTGTAATTCTTCCTCACTGGGCACCTGCTTTGAGTCACCTAGTCTTCAGCTCTAAAATAGGAAGGCCCCTCTACCCTGGGAACCTGATCCTGATGGTCCCTAATGGAGATAGGACACATGTCCACTGGAATAGGATGGATGGTGGTGAGCCCCTCCCCTCCAGAAAACCCCAAACCACCTCGCCACACCCTTCCATTCCTCCCCTATGTCTCTGCAGTCCCCTGGCCTGTCTCCCCAGATTGGAGGCCTTGGTCATCTTCTCTCCAACAGAGGACCCCAGCCCACCCACACCACAGTGTCCACTCTGTCTCTGTGGTCCCTCAGAGACCTTGGTCATCTTCTCTCCACCTCTGACAGTCCACATTTTTACGTAATTAACAGAAAATTCTCACCTAGGCTGCTCAAGACTCTCCCCAGCCCCTTCAAAACTATAACTTGGAATACAAAATCAGGATCTTGATGCTGACCAGAACCTTGACAGTCTTTATCTGGGAAATAAAATGCCAGGAAGAGGCTTCTGGGGGCCCAAGGTGATCTTGGGTAAGGGATGAACACTGAGCACCATCCAACAGACAGGATGCCAACATCTGCTCTGACATTTGGGGATGTTCTTCTGTTCGAGGGAAAAACTACTGTTGTTTTTCCTATTTGTTTGCTCTTTCATTTTTTCCACCCACATTTGTGGGTGTGCTGTAGTTGTAGATAATTATGGAACCTGTTGTTACATATCTGTACATGCACACAATATAATTTGGCCATTATCACTTCCTAGTACTTCCCCTCCCTCCCAACTACCTGCCCCTTGGTCTCTTTCCTCTATTAATCTCTCCTTTATGAGATCTTTCCCATCTTGCATTTCCACATATGAGAGAAAACATAAAACCTTGACCTTCTGAATTTATTTTGCTTAAAATGATGGTCTCTAGTTCTATCCATTTTCCTGCAAATGACATAATTTCATTTTTCTTTATGGCTGAATAAAATTTCACTGTGTATATATACCTCTTTATCCATTCATTTGTTGATGGACACTGTAACTTGGAGAGACTTAGTAGTTTACAAAAATCCATAAAGATAGAAGAATCTGAGATAGTGAATCTGTAAATTGGGAATGATCCTACTTGATTGTCCCAGCCTGCGGCTCTTGGGGTTTACCTCTGGTGGAGGATGAATTCAGGAGCCTGTGGTGTGGGCTCTGTCATCAGGAAGCTGTTCACCTCCTCCAGCCACCACTTGTGCCTGGACCCTGCTCCAGGTACATGCTCTGGAGATTGCTGCTAAGTGGGATGGTAGAACCAGCAAGCAAAGAAATTTCACAACCTGCTGGAGGGAGGAAGAAGCTGGTCCATATGTGGCACAACCATAGCCTCAAGTAGGGAAGACGACACTGCATCTGGTCCAGCCAGCCAAAGTCATGTGACCCAAGCTCACCTCCACCACCACCCCCAACTCCATCCCTGGCTTCAGCCTCTTTCTGAGGAAGGATCTGTCCCAATGTTGATATGAATGTTCCTGCCAGGCTTCCAGTGAAAATACAGCTCTGCTGACTTCGACAGCTTTGCCATTGTAGCCTCAGGCCACCCCCATGCCAGACTGAGTCAGGATCTGAGGCATGCATGTTCCCTCCCACAGTGAATTCATCCTCTCCCAGGGGTAATCCCCCTAGAACCACTGGCTTGGAAGATCAGGTAGGATAGTACCCAATTTATAGATTCACTATTTCATTTTGTGCTGATTACCTTTCTTTATGGATTTCTGAAAACTATCAACAGTCTCTCCATGCTGTATCTTTCAAAAAACTGAGAATTTTTGTAGGTCTTCCTGCCCAAGTGGGTCTGTGAAGAGAGATATGGAAAGGTTTGTGAAAGCCACAGCCTCAGACGTGATGCCAAGACCTGGTGGTAGGCTTGTTCCAATTGGTCAGCAAGGCCAGAAGTCCAGAGAATTAGTTGTATGTGGATTGGAGGAAATTTAGGAAAACCTGGGGCACATTAGGCACCTAAGGATTTTCTGTCTCACTGCCCTGACCTTTGGAGGGCACTGGCTTCCTCTTCTGCTCTACTTTAAGGTTAGGGTTAGGGCATGTCATTCAAGGATTCCTCAATTCTCTGGACACCTTTCTTCTAGTAGCTCTAAGCAGGTGAGCTTGCCACATGCCACTGCCCTGGGAGAAGCAGGACCAGTCTGCCAACAACCTGGATTAGGGCACTGAACAGTACTTCTCACCAAGGGAGAAAGAGGAGTACTGGATGCTCAGGATAAGTGTTCATGAAATGATATCTGAGTGGTCTGAGTTTTACAGTTTAGAAAATAAACAAAAAGGAGGTTACAGCAGACTAATGGTTACAATTGCATTGGGTGACAAGAGTGGCACAGATTGTTGATTTGGAAGTGGTCACCTGAGTTATACATGCCAGGTGGCAAGGAAGAAAATGTTTCACTAGGGTTATTACCTCTATGGTATCAGGGAGTCCAGTGAAACCTGTCACGATGAGTCAGAAAGAACTAGATGACTGTAGTCTCCTGCCTTGTGCCCGCTTCCCACTCCCACTGGAGAATTTTGTGACTTCACATGTGATGGCAAAACCAGGTCTGGTTGTAAAATGAAACTTTAAGAATCTTATGAAAAACTGGTGCCAGGGGAAAGGATTAGCTCCCCTCCCCTTCTGTCAGCCTTTCTTCAAGAAACCTAATTAACCATAGGTCCGTAACTTTTGGATTATAAATAGGGGTCTGACTACTTCCCTTTGAAGTGTAAATATCCCTGTTCCAGGCTTCAGACACAAGTCTACAGACCAGTGAAAAGAGCCAGTTTTTCTCCTTACAGCACTCTGGCTTCTCACTAGAAAGCCAGCACAAGGCCTTCTATCTCATAGACTATCAATTTTATGACACCAGATAGCCTATAAATGGTGTGACAAACTGGGAATGGGGGTTCAGAATTTGATCTCCTCTGGACCCACTGGCATAAAATAAACTTTGAGTTCTCCCATTCTCTAAGTGCCGTTTGTAGCTTCTTGACCCCTCTGCTTCCTGCAACACCTTTGTGACATTTTGAATCTTTTCTCAAGGACAGCCAGTCATCAGTACCTCTGCATTAGGTGAGGCACATATTTGTATAAATCAAAATTCTATATTCAATTCCTTATACTAATCCTGTCTTGTCTCTGTTCTCCTCACCAAATTCAAACTGATACACAGGTGAACCACAACCACTACTGCCACCACGTCTACCCATTTATTATTCTTGAGAAAATGGAACTGTGAGAAATAAATCTGCTTCTAATGTAGAATCCCATCAGTAGGGTTTAGAACTGTTATTATTGTCATTATATTCATTTCCATAAAGATATTCTGGGAAGCAACTCAATTTCTTTGCCTATCTGGAGGCCAGGAAAGATAGGTACCAACATAGTTGCATAAGCAATAAATAACTGAGTGTAAACCACGTTAATTATTCTTAAGGAAATTTCTGGATTGTGATATTATTTAACCTTGGGGAAAAGGATTTTAAGGAAAATAATTGGTATTATTTTGTTGTTGTTGTTCATAACAACCAATTAAACAGCAACACAGAGCAAACTTCAGTTGAAATCTGGATGACACTTAGGGAAAACTTAAATGTAGTGTTTTAAGTTACTCTAGCCTGTACAAAGACATTATATAATACCAGAATTCAGCCCCCTATATTCACAGACCCTAAGGGACTCATACCTCTTTGTTGTGGTCTAGATTTTTGTATATTTTATCTCTGTTCCTCCTTTTTTATGTACCAGAGATTGAACCCAGGGTGCTTAACCATTGAGCAACATCCCCAGCCCATTTTATTTTGCAACAGGGTCTTGCTGAGTTGCTGAGGCTGGCCTTGAACTTGTGATTTTCCGCCTCAGCCTCCCAAACTGCTGGTATTACAGGCATGTGACACTGTGCCTGGCTTTCCCACCTTATTATTTGAGCCATCTCTTTCAGAACCAATTATATATATATATATAGTAGTGCTATACATGGAACCCAGAGACTTGTGTATGTATGCTAGGAACATTCTCTACCACTGAGAAATGCCCCAGTTCCCCAAAGTCATGCAATTTTATGCAGAAAATATTTTCAAAATTATGTTAAATGGGATGGCACTCTCTGGGATTGTTTTTCTGTTTAGTCTAAATCAAATGTTGTGGAAGTCTGGAGTCATTTCAGGATCTTTCACTGTTTTCAGTGTGGCCTAAATATTTTGTTTAGTTCTTTTGTATCTTTTGGTTCTGAAGAAATTAAACACACCTGGCACTATACTATAGACATTTACTAAAAGGATTCAGGTAATATTTCTTAATATGTTTACAACATAAAAATTTCTTTTGTTCTGTACACTAGGCTTAAATGTCATAAGAAGAAACTACATCCAGGAAGAACTTCTAAAACAAGACATTCATCGTATTATTCTTAAATTTTATTAATGTCTTCAGTTTGTGTATCATTTACAATGAGACATGTACATCAAAAAGCATTCTCATACATAAATAGACCAAAAAACAAATTTAAGTAATCAATCTCTAAAACATGCCCATCTATTTTGTTCAGGTGTGTATGAGAAAGGGAAATAAGTTTTAAGCCTTTTTCTTTGGATCAAAAGCATCTGGATATTATTCAGGAATGCCAAATGTTTTTCTGAAACAAATGTATTTTTCAAAAGTAAATGGTGATGCAATTAAAAGGCATTAGTGTTTATAAAGACTGGAAAAACATTTGTGGTGTGCATGATCAACAAGAAAATAGATGCAGTGAACCTAAGGTACATGTCAAATAAATGAATTAGGTAGCATGAATTGAATGGTACAGATGGAATAAAACTTACCATAAGGGACTCATATATATTCAAGGCACATGACTAGGCTAAACAGGTGGCTAGATTCTATAGACTAATTTGTTCTTTAATTGGGAAAGGAGAAAAGTAAAATATAACTTCATTTAATGGCACTTATTTATATATAAATGCAGTTAGATCTGGGTTAGCAAATGGCTTCCTTTCAGATACACACCAACCACGAGATAACAGATGTCAGAGTAGCTGAAGCAGTATGATTACATCCCAATTTTTGTGCAATGCAGTAAATGGATGTTAAACTGCTATGTGTTGTGTCTATACATCATACTGTCTATATTCAGGTTTCACAAAAGAATTCTTCAACATTAGGCAGATTAAAGGATTTAGTAAACCATAAAGGATGCTCAAACTATTACTCAACAAGAGTCAATTCCAAACTCTGGAGTTGAATGCTGACTGTATTCAGTTTGGGCTTTTCTCAGAATGGAAAAAACTTCCCAAACTACCCCACTTTCTATAGCTAAAATGCTAGCATACCTACTATGATTCCCTTGTTTTTCTTTGGTGAGTCACAGGAATTTGCCTCCCACCCCTCCATTACCCATTCTATTAACAATAGGATTGCTATATAATATTCAAAGAAAAGGAATATATAAAAACAATAAGCTTTAACAATATTTAAACCATAATCTTCTCCAATCAACTACAACAGGAAAACAGAAGATAATAAGCTAATCACTGTATTGTAAATGATTAGTGCCCTTAACTTTATTCCTGAAAGTGAATACTAGGAGGACAAGAATAATCTGTGTGCTTCTAGTGGGCTAGCAAAATGTTCCCCATCTGATTGAAATAAATATGTATAATACTTTACCCATCTGGGCTCCTGAAAATAAGCAGCACCGACAATTTAATTACAATTCCCCAAATAACGACCATTCTTCATTTATATTGTTTTGAAGCACCTAAAACTCTTCAATAACAAAATACATTAAGATGAATGGTGAGCAATATTATTTGTCTCTTGAATACTTTTACGTGCACATACAAAGCTCCTCTATAGTTTTAGTAGACATCTCTTAAAACGGGTGGTATCCACCTTGGCAATAGCTTTGTGCAATTAAAACCAAAAATGTTTTTCAAAGTAGGTAACACTAGTTAACAAACCAAAGAAACAAACCAAAGCATTTTTAAGGCTACTGCTGTAATGACTGGTTTAATCTGAAGTTCATTGGAATAAATTGGTTGATAGGACAAAGATAAATCTGGAGACATAGACTAAGATTAAAAAAAGCATCAATGAAAAGAGGGCTGAAGAGACTAGCAGACACTTTCTGCCAGTAATGAAAGGCTTGGGTCACATGGATTATTTTTAACTCCTTTTTCTCTTGTATCCTTGGTCAATGATAATTTTTTCTTTCTTATTTCTTCACACAGCTTGGCCATGTAAATCCACCACAGAGAGGTGACACAATAATATAGATGAACACCTGGAAGAGCAAGGCCATTTTATTTTCTTGAATCTATCATATATGCCTAAATAATACATAAGGGTTAGTAAAGCTCTTTTAAAGAGACATTTCTGATTCCATTATAGAAGTGGTTATGTACGAATATGACAAATTAACAAATTATTTTCAAAGACAGGAGCAAGTCACAATTATCCTTTCTGATATAACTTGTCCACTTGATTTCACTATGCTTTCTTCAGTGACAGAAAAAACATGGGGGGTTATTGATCTTCATTGGTAACTAGGCAGAATGAAGGCTATGTGAGTAGCCCTTACTGATGCATCATTAATGCATTATAAAAATCACAACCACTATTTCCTTGAAGTATGATTTTACTATTGATTATATTTTTAGATTTTGTATATGAATTTGATTTTTATTATTAGGATAGGAATATATGAAAAAGAAATAAAAAGTAATAAACAATATATTTCATGCCTCAACTATATAAACTGAACAAAATTATTGCTATGAACGTTTCAGTGGATAATGACATAATAATTATGATTACCAAATCAAAGAAAAGTTAATGGTGAAACACTGCAAAATGCTGGCTCTATTATGAATATGTTAGCTTTTTTAATTCTAGTATTATCCTAAAATAATATCTATTTGCTTACATTATTGCATTCTAAACTGTAGACTTATTTTATACATTAGGTTCACTGAATTAAACTTAGTCATTTTATTTTGCTTTACAACTTTTTTTCAGATATTTAAGGGACTACTATCACTACTCATATACTAAGAAAAAATGCATTTAGGAATTACATGTCTCATTCCCCAAAAGTGAGCAAAGCATTTTGCCTTCCCTATATAATACTGATGTGGAGGGGTTAGTTACATAACATTCCAGTTATTAATGAATAGGTTAAACTACACATACATACACACATACATAATACATATTCTACAAAAATTCTCTCAGAAAACATACATATAAATTTGATGTAAAGTTGACCATTTGCCACAGCAAATTATAAGGAATTATAAAGCTGAGGTACAGTATGTTAGATGACAATATCTTTTTACTAAATATTGATAATGCATTTACAGTAGTTATAGATGGACAGAAAGCCTTTTTTGTTTGTTTATTTTTATGTGGTGCTGAGGCTTGAACCCAGTGCCTTGCACGTGCTAGGCAAGCACTTTACCACTGAGCCACAACCCAGCCCCCTCCTTTCTTTTATTTAAAAATATATATTTTTTTACTTGTAGATGGACACAGTATCTTTATTTTATTTATTTTTACATGGTGCTGAAGATCAAACCCAGTACTTCACATGTCCAAGGCAAGCACTCCACCACTGAGCCACAACCCCAGCCCTCCTCTTTTCTCTTAAATTAGATCTAACTGGCTAAGGTGCAGAAACCTTAAGTAGAGGTATCAAGGAGAAGTAAAGCAGAGTTGAAGACACCTGCTCACAGATAACTTTGGGCTTCTGAAAGTAACGGGAGGACAGGGAGGAAAGGCAGGTTTTTTGTTTGTTTTGGTACTAAGGATTGAACCCAGGGGCACTTAACCACTGAACCACATCCCCAGACCTTTTTTATATTTTATTTAGAAATAGGTTCTCACTGGGTTGCTTAGGGCCTGGCTAAATTGCTGAGGCTGGCTTTGAACTCATGATCCTCTTGCCCCAGCCTCCCAAGCCAAGGAAAGGCAGTTTTACCTAGCCATGAAATAGCCCAGGGTAAAGCTCCCCTCCCTTCTGCAGTGTCTATCAAATTTTTTTATTCAGTACCTCTACATTTGTTGGGTAGGGGAGGGTGCTGGGAATTGAACCCAGAGCCTCATACATGCTAGGAAACTATTCTGTTACTGAGCTATGCCCCCAGCTCCTCTTTACAATTTTAAACATTACTGAGGATGACAAAGAACTTTTGTTTAGAGGGATTACAAATATCAACATTTACCTTATTATAAATTAAAATTTTAAACATGCATATTTAGTTTTAAAATAGTCAAAAGGTGGGGCTGGAGTTGTGGCTCAGTGGTAGAGTGCTTGCCTGGCATGTGTGAAGTGCTGGTTTGATCTTCAGCACCACATATAAATAAATAAAATAAAATAAAAGATCCATTTACAACTAAAAAAATCTTTTAAAAAAACAGTTAAAAGGCCAAATGTTCTCTCTGATAAGTGGATGCTGGTCCATAATGGGGGCAGGCAAGGGAAGAATGGAGGAACTTTGGATTGGGCAGAGGGGAGTGAGGAGAGGGGTTATGGGGGGGGAGATGGTGGAATGAGATGGACATCATTACCCTATGTATGTGTAAGATTGCACTAATGGTGTGACTCTGAATCTTGTACAACCAGAGATATAAAACATTGTGTTCCATTTGGGTACAATGAGTCATATGTATTCTGTTCTCAGGTATAACTAATTACAACAAATAAAAAATAGTGACAATAAACCTCTTAATATAAACAGTAATAATATTTCTATAAAATATATTAACCAGGCATGGTAGCACATGACTGTTAGTGCCAGCACCTGGAAAGCTGAGGAAGGAGAACTGCTTGAGCCTAGAAGTTCAGGACCAGCCTGGGAAGCATAGTAAGACCTGGTCTTAAAAAAAAAAAAATGATTACATTTCTGTGAGGTCAGTTTTATATTACATATAAGAATTCTCAATAGGAAAGAGGGGTTTAAGTTGAGAAAATATTTCATATTGATTTTATGGGAAAGCCACCTTCTAGTGGTCATGTGTTTCACCATTAAAAATGTAGCTCATTTCAGAATATTAATCATTGACAAGGAATTCCAGCACCTAATTCCTTAGAGGCTGAAAACCAAAATCATACACTAAAAGGACAAAAACTTACAATTGATACAATGATAATGATGACTGTTAGCTTGATATTCTTCATACACATGGCTCGTGCAAGATTTCTGCTGGTAGTTTTGAAGGTGACAGACTAGGAAAAAAAGCATATTATTTAAACCTTGGCACTGACTGCATCAATAATATGTAGTAACACCCTACAAATATTTTATTTTCATTAAATGTATTTTAAGTTCTAATGTCCTTTAACCCTCCCCTCCCTTTACAAGATGAGAGTGGCTATTCATGATTACTAGTTTCCAGGAGCAGAACTCTACCAGACCTATGATAAGCAGGCCTATAACTACAGAGGCTTCATCTTTTTTCTTCCCACTGCAGCAATGTACATGATATTGAGCACCAGAAGTAGTTCTTTCCATCTAGCAGAAAAGCTTGTTCCTCTTTAGGTTTCCAAATAGAAAGGCTCCTTCTAAGCCAGTTGGCTGCAAGCATGATGGCACATTCTGCCCACTATACTCTTGGGACTCTGACCCATAAAAATCTGTTTGATCTGCATAGGAAAATATGTATTTACTTGTATGAGGGCCAAAACCCATAGAACTCCATTCCTTTGGTTATCCATTTTTGTTTGCATCATCAATTTCTCAATATCTACTGAACCATTCCCACCAGGACACAAGCAGGGGCTGGAGTTGTGGCTCAGTGGTAGAGCGCTTGCCTAGCACATGTGAGGCCCTGGGTTTGATCCTCAGCACCACATAAAAATAAATAAATAAAATAAAGGTATTGTGTCCATCTACAACTAAAAAATAAATATTAAAAAAGACTCCCTAATAGCCCAAGAATTCCACTCTTGGGTACATACTGAACAGAAATGTATGTGTAACACCAAGAGCCACATGCAAAAATATTTCTAACAACACTACTTTTCACAAGTTAGAAACTACCCAAATGCCCATCAAATGACCAATTCATAAATAAATTGAATAAAATTTTATAAATTTATATAATGCATAAAAATGTATAAATATACAGTGCATAAACTATAAAAATTTATAAACATAATTGCATAAAATGCATAATGGAATATACCATGTAGTTATTGAAATTAAAGTCCACCACTATATTTATATAATCAACAATGTAAACATCATGAATGAGTCTCAAAAACGTAATTTTTAACATAAGAAGCTTACCAAATACAGTAAATGCTGCAGGGTATTATTCTATGGAGAGAAGTCAGAAGAGTGTTGACCCTTGGAGGGGAGTAGTGACTATGAGGACAGAGGGAACTTAATCTGGGCATTGGTTCCACAGGTATATTCACTTTGTGAAAATACAACAAGGGGTACACTATGGTTGATGTCCTTTTCTACTTATAAACTACACTTCAATAAATTGTTTTCTAAAAATCCACTTTCTTGACCATACATTCATGCCCATCCACCTTCTCTACAAAGTCTCTCTAGTAGAGCAGGTGAGAGGGGCACTAGCCCTCAGGTTTCACTTAATGCAGAATAATAAGATGACACGTGGAAGGACAGACTCAACAGCTAAGGGAGCATATGCTACATATCCAAACAGATTACATCTAGCCTTAAATATACACATTGAATAGAATATATGCATCGACTTGGATATATGAGAAGAATCTACAAAGGAAACAAAGCCAAGCAATCAGAGTAAATGGGCCTCAATGGAAAAAAACTTAATGTAGAAAAGAGAGAATGATAGTAATAAAAATTTATAAGAAGCATCTTCACATATAAAACATCATTACATTGATTTAAGAGTTCATAAGTTAGGGAAGACAAAAAGGGAAAAATTTGATGGTATAATAGTCTAAGATATACATTTTAATAAATATGCATAGTTTTAGAAAATTATAAATAGCAGAAAATAAATGGCTAAAAGCCATTTTTGTGGCAACAACTTGAAAAATTGTCCCAGAACACATAATAAAATGTGTATGATATAAATTATGAAAGATGTAAGTAAGATACTCAGAAAACTGATCAAGCAAATTCAGGATCCATTTACACAAGCAACAGATATTTAACAAGTGCTTACTATCTTCCTGGTACTTTTAGGTACCTACTAGCAGGTGCAGAAGGAGCCAATATAGACAAAAGAGAAGAATCAATAATCAAAGAACCACCAGAAGGAAGTCCCCAAACTAAGAATGACTTGAATCTTTTGATATAACACGTCAGGTATGTGGCAAGAATACTGAAAGAAGGCGCATACTTTCCATCTCCCAGTAACGTTTCAGAACTCCAAGCTTTTATGTTTTACTTTTTATTTTTTTCTGCTTTGAGATATAATTGATAGCTAAAAATTACAGATATTCAAGGAATAATACGTGATGTTTTCATATAGGTAGCGCGCTTGCCTGGCACGCGTGTGGCCCGGATTCGATCCTCAGCACCACATACAAACAAAGATGTTGTGTCCGCTGAAAACTAAAAAATAAATATTAAAAAAATTCTCTCTCTCTCGCTCTCTCTCTCTCTCTCTCTTTAAAAAAAAAGATCTGCTCTCATGGCATATTTGAAATATTCAATAATAAAAATATTACTATTATTTTTTGAGTACTGGGGATTGAACTCAGGGGCACTCAACCACTGAGCCACATCCTCAGCCCTATTTTGAATTTTATTTAGAGACAGGGTCACACTGAGTTGCTTAGTGTCTTGCTTTTGCTGAGTCTGGCTTTGAACTCATGATCTTGCTGCCTCAGCCTCTGGAGCTGCTGGGATTACAGGCATGCGCCACTGAGACCAGCTCAATATCTTATTAACTATAGTCACTATATTGTACATTAGGTCTCCAGAATTTATTCATCTTATAACTGCAAGTCCATACACTTTGACCAATATCTTTCCATTTTCCCTCTTCCCCCAGCTCCCTGGGAACCAGTGTTCTATGCTCTGCTTCTATGTATCCAACATTTTAGCATTCTTATTTAAATTATTTCATTTAGTATAATGTTCTCTAGATTTATCCATGTTGCTGCAAATGGCAGGATCACCTTTGTCTTTATGGCTGAATAACATTCCAATGTGTGTGTGTGTGTGTGTTTGTGTATCACCATTTCTTTATCCATTCATCCACTGGAAGACACTTATCGACTGTTTCCATATTTCGGCTATTATGAATAATGCTGCAATGAGCATGGGTGGAAAGATCTTTTTATTTTTAGTTGGAGATGAACACAATACCTTTATTTTATTTATTTATGTGGTGCTAAGGATCAAACTCAGTGCTTCACATGTGCAAGGCAAGTGCTAAGCTACTACTATTGAGCAACTACCCCAGCCCACAAAGATAGATATTTCTTTGAGGTATTGGTTTTATTTCTTTTGGGTGTAAGACATGCTAAAGACCAATTGCTGGATCATATGGTGGTTCTTGTTTTAGTATTTTGAGGACCCTCCATAATGTTTTCCATATTGGTTATATCAATTTACATTCCTATCAACAGTGTGCAAAGGTTCCTTTTTCTCCAAACCCTCATCAACGCTTGTCCTCTCATCTTTTTGATAACAGTCAACCCAATTGTGTAAGGTGATATCTCCCTGTGGTTTTGATTTGTATTTCCCTGATGATTAGTGATGTTGAACTTCTTTTCATATACCTGTTGGCCATTTATGTCTTCTTTAAACATATATCTATTAGGACCTTTGACAATTTTTTAAGTAGGTTATTTTTTGTTTGCTATTTGAGTAGTGTAAGTTTCTGTGAGTCCTTCTAACAAACTATCAAATGTGAAGGTGGTTTTGGGAACCTCCAGACTAGTAATTAGTATCAGAAGTGAGGGTGGTTTTTGGAATTGTGCCTTTTAAACTGAATAACTGCTTAATTTCTCAGTTTCCTAAACTCTTTGCAATTAGTTACAAAAAAGTATCAACATTTAGAAAATTATAAGGGGAAATTATCTTAATTTTAGATTTCTATACCACTCAAAACATTGTTCAAATATGAACGGGAACAAATTCATTCCTGAAAAGATTTAGATTGTTATGAAGAAAACGTGTCAAGACATCTCAAATAAAAACTAAATCGCAATAAAGACTTCAAGAAAGAGGAAGATAACATGGATTTTTTAAAAAAAGTAATAAGCAATGAAACAAATATATCTAAACAGTTTTGTGATTCAATAAATTGGAATGGAGATTCCTTCACAATTCTCAGGTCAACACCTGAACACTGATAGATGTTTAAGATCATGTTAGCTATTAAAAAAAAAAAAAAAAAAAAACAATTGTCACAACTTACCAAACCTTTCCATGGGACTGTGTATGGGGTAGGCTGAAGAGAACAAGATATAAAAATTCCTGTGGGAATGACAAAGAAAATCTGAAAAGCTGGATAATTTCTTTAGCAGCTGTAAGGAGACTTGGGGAGCTGCCATACCTCTGTAGTAGACTGGATGATAGCTCCAAAGATATGTCCAGATCACAATCCTTGTGAATGTGACATTATTTGGACTAAGGGTCTTTACAGATGTCAACATTCTTCAGTGAGGAGAGCATCTTGGATTATCCAGATAGGCCCTAAATGCCACCACAAACATCCTTACAGAAAGAAAGTAGGAGGGATTTCTCTCTCACACACACACACACACACACACACACACACACACACACACGAGCTGATATGAACATGGAAGTAGAAACTGCATTAACACAGACAAAAGCTGAGGAATACCAGCAGCCAAGAGAAACCAGAAGAAGAAAGAAACAAATTCTCTTAAAAAGCCTCTGGTATAAGATAAGGGGCAATTTCATTCTTTTGCATGTGAACATCCAGTTTTCCCAACACCATTTATTGAAAAGATTGTCCTTTCTCCAATGCATATTTTTTAGAACCCTGTTGAAAATTAGTTGGCTAGACATATCAGTTTACTTTTAGGCTATTTTATTCCATGGGTTGTATGTTGGTTTTCATCCCAATACTATATTGTTTAGATTGTCACAGCTTTGTAGGATATTTTGAAGTCAGTTTAGTTTTTTTTCCTCAAGATTCTTTGACTATTTAGGATCCTTTTTAGTTCTACACAGATTTTAGGATTTTTTCTATTCCTGTGAAGAATGTCATTGATATTTGATAGGAACTGTATTGAATCTGTAGATCACTTTAGGATGTTATAATAATATTAATTCTTCCAATCCATTAATTATATAACCTTCTGTTTATTTGTGTCACCTTCAATTTCTTTTACTAATGTTTTAGTTTTTATTGTAGAGATTTTCACCTACTTGGTTAAATCTATTCCTAGGATATTTATTTGTTTTGTAGCTATTATAAATGGATAACTTTCTTGACTTCTTTTTCAGATAGTTCACTATTGGCATATAGAAATGCTATTGATTTTGTATGTTGATTTGTATCCTGCAACTTTACTGAATTTGTTTATTAATTCTAACAACAGTTTTTGGTGTAATTTTCAGGGATTTCTACATATATATGATCAAGTCAAATGTAAATAGAAATAATTTGACTTCCTACTTTCCAACTTGAATGTTCTTTACTTTTTTCTCTTGCCTAATTCATTGGGCAATGATTTCTTCAATCAATGTTTTATAGTTTTCAACATGTAAGTTCTTCATCATCTTGATTAAGTTTATTACTAATTATTTTGTTCTTTTTGGTGTTATTATAAATGGAAAAGATGTGTGCAGTGAAAAATACAAACATTGCTGAACAAAATTAAAGACACTCTAAATAAATGTTCAAGCACTGGAAGACTTTACACCATTAAGGTGATAACAGCACCCAAAATGATCTATAAAGATTCAGTGTAATTTCTATGAAATCCCAAAAGCATTTTTTTTACAGAAGTATTAAAACATCCCTTCTTAAATTTCATACAGAATGTCAAGGGACCTTGAATGTCAAAACAATCTTGAAAAAGAAGAACAAATTTTGAGGACTTATGCTTCCTGATTTAAAAACTTAGTACCAAGATAATCAAAGCTGTGTGGTACTGGCATAAAAACACACAGATCATGAAACAGAATACAGAATCCAGAAATATAACTTCATATATATGGTCAAATGGTCTTCAGTAAGGGTGTCAGGACCTCTCAAGGGGCAAAGAAGGGTCTCTTCAATAAATACTGTTGCCAAAACCAAATATCCATATGCAAAAGAATGAAGTTCGACCCTTATATAACAAAATTTAACTCAAAATGCATCAAATACCTAAACTTAAGAGCTAAAACTATAAAATTCTTAAGAAAACATAGGACAAAAGCATTATGTCACTGGATTAGGCAATGCTTTCTTGGATGTAACACTGGAAGCACAAAAACTCAAGAAAAAAAATTGTCTAATGAATTTAAAATTTAAGAACTTTTGCACATCAAAGGACACTAACGTAAGAGAATGAAAAGACAACCCACAGAATCGAAGAAAATATTATCAAAGCATATACTGATAAGGGGTTAATACCCAGATTATATTTAAAAAACACTCCTGAAACTCAGTAATTTAAAAAAAACCCTATTTAAACATGGTCAGATGATTGAATTATTTTTTTCTAAAGAAGATAGATAAATGGACAATAAGCACATGGAAAAAATATTCAACATCATTAGTTGTATTACATATCTAATTTTTTTTACATGTTATGATATCCTAACATCTTAAAAAAATATTCTGGCCAAGGAGAGAGTACCTCTCTTAGGGGCAGCTAATTCTCAGAGATAGCAAAGGGCCCAGAAAGGAGCATGTGTTTGATATGCAAATTGATCAATCCAGAGCTGTATCTCCTTTTTCTGGCTCAGGCACTTCAAGAGTCAATATCCTTTTGTCTTATCATCTCAGGGCCAGATACCAGGTAACTATAGACCACCCTGATAACTTAAGAGTCCACTGAGGTGCTGGGGTTATAGCTCAGCAGTAGAGCACTTGCCTTGCACATGTGAGGCACTGGGTTTGATCCTCAGTACCATATAAAAATATATAAAACAAAAAGATATTGTGTCCATCTTTAAAAAATATTTTTAAAAGAGTCCACTGAAATTATATAAGATAGTCAATCTTAAACTGTTTTACTCTGTTCTATCTTGCCTTTCCTGCAGAAGCCACAATAAAAGCTTTAGTATTGAATTTTCCCTTTCTCCTGGTCCTTCGGCTTTCTAAACACCCTGGTGTTTTCCTGTAACCCCATGTGGCATGTGATGACTCTATCTCTGGGACCTAAAAGCATAATAAATTTCTTTCTTCCAAGACTCATTCTCATCTCCTCCACTGGCCCAATAGCTTTACCATACCATAGCAAATGTGTATGTTCTTAAAATATTGGAAAATACAAAATATTAAGATACTACTTCATATCCACTAGGATGACTATAATATAAAGGTGGAAAGTAAGTGCTTGCAAAGAGTAGAGAAACTGATACCCTCACACATTGCTGATGGGAATGCAAAATGGTGCAGCTGCTACGGAAAAGTTTAGTGGTTCCTCAAAAAGCAAAACATAGAATCACTATATTACTCAGCAATTTCATTCCTAGGTATAGACCCAAAGGAACTGAAAGCAGAATTCAAATAGATATCTGTACACCAATGTTCACTACAAATTATTCATAATAGTTAAAAGGTGAAACATCCCAAGTGTCTATCTATATATGAATAGATAACAAATGTAGTATATAATACAATATATGGAATATTATTTAGCCATAAAAAGGAATAAAGTTCTGATACAAGCTACAATAAGGATAAACCTTGAAAATATCATGCTCAGTTAAACAAGCCTGACACAAAAGAACAAATATTACTAATTCTACTTACACGAGATACCTAGAACAGGCAAATTCACAGACAAAGTTGATACGAAATATTAACTATGGGAATTGGGAATTTTTGCTCAGAGGTCCCAAGTTTCTGTTCAGGGTGATAAATTCCTTTGGAAAAAGTATCAATGGTTGGAACACACTGTAGGTGTATCAATGTCACTAAATTTTACACTTAAAAAATGGTCAAAATTGCAAAATTTATGCTATACATTTGCAACAATTTAAAAAACTGGTAATGCAATTTATCAAAAATCACTGAAATATGCAACTTAAATGGTTTATTTATATGGTCTGAGCTCATTTCTCAATAAAAGTGTTAAAATAACCAGCAGAAATGATAAAAGAACAAAAAAAAGTAATCAAAAGAAGATGGAGGAAATAAAAAACAAAGAGCAAGATGGCTCACTTAAACCCAATTTAATCAATTTTATATTACATGTAAGAGGAATAAATAATAGATTTCACATATTCAAGAAGGTAGAGGAAAACATGCACATGTGAGGGAGACACATAAAAGATTCAAACCGAACTAGTAGAAATGAAAAATATACAGGATGGGATTAATAGCAAATTAAAAACTACAGAAGAAAAGAAAATTTGGACATAGCATTAGAAGCTATCCTAAATAAAACAGAGAGAAAAAGACTGAAGAAAATGAACAGAGCATCATGAGTTGTGGGCGAACTTCAAGTTTAACTGACGTCCCAAAATGGAGCTAAACTGATCTACTTCAAGGTGTTATGGTTTAGATATAAGGTGTCCTCCAAAAGTTCATGTGAGAGACAATGCAAGATTTTTCCGAGATAAAATGATCAGATTATGAGATGTTTTTAACCTAATCAGTACATTAATCCACCCATATAGATGAATTAATTGGGCAGTAGGTAATATAGGTATGCAGGATGTGGCTGGAGGAGGTGGTCACTGGGCTGTGTCTTTGGGGTTTATATATTGTCCCTGGTGAGCAAAGCTCTCTCTACTTCCTGGTGCCATGTCCTGAGCTGTTTTCCTCTTCCATGTCCTCCTGCCAAAGCTATGGAGTCATCTGTCTATAGTCTAAGATCTCTGAAACCATGAGCCAAAATAAACTTGTCCTTCTCTACACTCTGTTCTTGTCAGGTCTTTTGGTCATAGCAGTGAAAAAGCTGACCAAAACACAATCTGCAAAATTGTGCTCTGCGTTTAAATTTGTAATTATGTTACCCAATTGTAATTGATCTCTGCCACACATCTGTTCACCATATATCTATCAACTTTTTCCAAATGTTGATTCATTTAACCACATAGAAAATGTGAAGACATATGTAACTAGTATAAGTAGGTCACAAGGACACACTATCTTACCATCTTCTTTAAGGCTTACCTCCTCTTTCCAACCCATTCCTTTGGCTTTATACAAGGAAAGATGAAACTATCTTTAAAAAAAATGTGAATTATCCAGTTTTCAGGACTCATACTGGGTCACAAATGGTGTATACATTTATTTGTTTCATATTTTACAGATTTGTAGAGAAAAAAGACTAGTACATAATGTTGAGGTTGTGAATTATGCAGGCATCATCTTCCAAACCAAAGCTTACTTAATGGCTACTAATACATGGTGGCTTTTTTTTTTTTGCTATGCCTCACTGTTATCCTCCTTACCACAATATAATCACATAATGGAAATAAGAAAGGAGAATAACCAGAATATTGAATTTAAGACATTTCTCAATTAATTAGCTATCATTTGCAGTTTCTCTAATTTATATCCTGAAAAATATTATCACATTCCATACTTACTGAATCCACGAGATTTTCTGTTTTATCTATCAATAATTCCAATCTTTCTCCACGCTGAGCTACTAGATCTGAAAATATGAGAAAAAAAGAAAAAAATGTTTTATATTAAAAATATGCAATTTTTGTTTTTGTTTTTTTTGGAGGGAAGGGGGGTATCCGGAATTGAATTCAGGGGCACTCAACCACTGAGCCGCATCCCCAGCCCTATTTTGTATTTTCTTTAGAGACAGGGTCTCACTGAGCTGCTTAACACCTCACTAAGTTGCTGAGGCTGACTTTGAACTCACGATCCTCCTGCCTCAGCCTCCAGAGCCCCTAGGATTACAGGTATGCACCACCATGCCTGGCTTTGTGTTTGTTTAATTGAAATTTTATTTTAATTTAGATGGTATTCTTGACAGCTCATATTTATAACAGAAGTGCTTACACCTTTAAGTAATAAAAGAAATTTGTTTTGTTCTGCCATGTCATCCTGCCATGATATGCTACCCTTATCAGAGGCCCAAAGCAATGGGACTACTTGATCTTGGACTGATACCTTAAGAACCATGGGCCAAAATAAATCTTTCTTCCTAATAAATTAAAAAATATTTTAGTAAAGCTCATCAAATAAAGTAGGGGTTGACATTTTTTTTTCCTGTAAAGGGCCAGTTACTAAATATTTTAGGCTTTGTGTGCCATACATTCTCTATTGCAATTACTTTCACTATGCCAGAAATAGAAAATATGTAAATGAATTGTTATAACTGTATTCCAATGAAATTTTATGTAGAACAACAGGCAGTAGACCAGACTTGACCCAAGAACTATAGTTTGTAAATCCCTCTCTTCCAGTGTCTCTTTCAGCGACACAGAAGCTCTCTTCTTGGTAAGTACAGCTTGGGGACTCCCTTTTTCCCACAGGTCCCAGTCAAGAGCTATTCCCTTTTCCAAGGAAAGGCAGGTTACCATCCTTTATCATTCCACTCTCTGCTCAATTCTGTGCTGCAGAAGCTCAGTTATGGGGAGGAAGAGCTAATAGGTTTGGGGTTCCTTTCCTCTACTTAGCCTTTACCCATAGGACAGAAGCTAACCTCAGATGGCAGGCCAAGAATACTGGGTCCTAACTGCTCTTCCTTCTATTCAGAGTGAAGTTTCCATGCTATGAGGGAAAAATGAAGAAGAAGAGGTTACCCAGCCCTCCATTGGTAAGGAAAGGGTGCCACTCCAAGAGAAGTAGTCCACTGTCACTATTAATAACTACAGAGCAGTGGCTCAGAGATTTTTTTACCAGGGGAAAGGTAAGCCTTATGAACACAGAGCTTTCCCTAGGGTGACAGACTATTTGGAATAGAGTACAGGGAAGTTCAAGCCTAAGGGTACTATCAAAAATGAGATGTTGGAAGTAAGCAAATAACATGAGACTGCAACTTCATGAGAAAATCAAGCTAAACTATGGGCCAGCTAAAAATTTAACAGAGAAACACAGAAAAGGCAACTAACAGGAGCCCTCCTAGGATCAGAACAAGCCTCCAAAACTGCCCCTCAAATGGAACCCACATCTAATTATATCAGATTGGAGCAATTTACCTCTGGGGCACTATCAAAAGCAACAAACTAGCCTGTAATTAGTGGAGACTCACAACTGAGTAAGAGACAGCAGCAAAGCAATAGGAAGTTTAACAGAAAAATCAATAAAACAGATACTCAAACAGATATATGTTATTCCAGAGTGACAGTGTGCATACCCAAGGCTATTCCTTCTGAGGATTGGCACTGGAGGATGCATACTGTGGAAAAAATGAGCTTTAATTATAAAGTCCAACTCAATCACAAAACAAATAAACAAGCAGACAATAAGCCCTGGGGGGGGGGGCGGAATCAGTACCTCAAATTGCTAAAATACATTATTTAAAATGTCCATTTTCAACAAAAATTATGAGGTATAAAGAAACAAACAAAAAAGCATGACCCATACATAGGAAAAAGAACATGGAAGAGAAAAATGACTGAGGAATACAGCTGCTGAAAGTAGCAAAAACTTCAAAGTACCCACAATACACATATTCTGTGAACTAAAGGAAACTATGCTTACAGAAGTCAAGGGAAGATATGATGACAACGTCTCATTAAATAAAGCAATAGAGTTAAAATTAATTTTGAAAGGACCAAGTAGAAATTGAGCACTATAAAATAAATGAAAAATTTACTTGAGGAAATGAGCAGTAGATTGGAGCAGAGAGAAGAATCAGCAAACTTGAAGATAGGTCAACTTAGAGTATCTCTTATGAAGATATAAAAAGAATGAAGAAAAATAAACAGAGCCTCAGAGAAATGTTGGACACCAAAAATGCACCAACATATGAGTAATGGGAATACCATTGGAAGTGGAGCTAGAGAAAGGAGAAAAATATTTGAAGAAATATTAGTGAAATCCCAAATTTGATGAAAAACATTAATTTACACATCTAAAGAATTAAAAAAAAATTACAATAAGGAGAAACAGAGAGTTCCACAACTGAATACACCCTAGCTAAAACAAAGACAAGAAAAATCTCTCTTTTTTTTTTTTTTTTGGTACCAGGGATTGAACTTAGGTACAGTTGACCACTGAACCACATCCTCAGCCCTATTTTGTATTTTATTTAGAGACAGGGTCTCACTGAGTTGCATAGCACCTCGCCATTGCTGAGGCTGGCTTTGAACTGTTGATACTCCTGTTTTAGCCTCCTGAGCCACTGGGATTACAGACTTGTGCCATCACACCCAGCAAGACAAGGAAAATCTCAAAAGTAGCAAATAAAAGCAATTTATCACACACGTGAGAAAACCAGTAAAAGATGACTTCTCATCAGAAACAATGGAAGCCAGAAGGTAGTGAGATGACATTCTAAGTGACGAAAGAAAAAAAAAATATTTCAACCAAGAATCATCTATTAAATAAAATGATCTTTTAAAAATGAAGGTGAGGGGCTGGGGTTGTTCTCAGTGGTAGAGTGCTCACCTAGCATGTATGAGCGCTCGCCTAGTACTGGGTTTGATCCTCAGCACCACATAAAGATAAGTAGTACATGAAGGTATACCAAAAAATGAAGGTAAGCTGGGCATGGTGGCACATGCCTGTGATCCCAGCAGCTCGGGAGGCTGAGACAGGAGAATCATGAGTTCAAACCCAGCCTCAGCAACAGTGAGGTGCTAAGCAACTCAGACCCTGTCTCTAATCCTTTTTTTTTTTTTTTTATACTTTTTTAGTTGTTTTTTTTTTTTTTTACAGGGCTGAGGACCGAACCCAGGGCCTTGCGCATGCTAGGCAAGCGCTCTGCCACTGAGCTAAATCCCCAACCCCAGATCCTGTCTCTAAATAAAATACAAAATAGGGCTGGGGATGTGGCTTAGTGGTTGAGTGCCCCTGAGTTCAATTCCTGGTACAAAAAAGAAATGAAGACCAAGAAAAAACATTCAAGCTAAGAATGTGTCACTAGCAGAATTGTGTTATAAATAAAGAGGGGCAGGGTTGTAGCTCAATGGTAAAGTGCTTGCCTACCATGTGTGAGGTGCTGGGTTAGATCCTCAACACCACATAAAAATAAATAAATAAAAATAAAAACAAAAATTTAAAAAAAGAAATAATAAAGAAAAAATTTCAGGCTAAAACCAGAATGCCAAACTGTAATCTAAATCTACACATACACACACATAAAGATAAAGATAATTATGTACAAATGTTTGTATAAAACAATATATGTATTATTTTACTGTTGGTCATATGCCATACAGGGATATAATAAATTTTAAAATAAAAGTATAAAGGAGATGAATACAAAAGTGTATTGAAGCAAGGAAATAATAGATGATAGTAATTCAAATCCCTGGAAAAAATGAAAATAACCAGAAATTGTAAGGTTTATAAAATAAATTTACTGAGTTTGTTACATATATGGACATATTATATGCTGAAATAATAGCACAAAAAGGGGGAAGAATGAATAAATTGTGTAAGAGTAACATTTACGTATATCATTGGAATTATATTTATATAAATCTGAAGTCAATTATGGTAAGTAAATATGTATAACATAAGCTCTGGAGAAAATACATATATAGTGAAAAAAATCTATATAGGACTTAAAACTCAGAAAATAGTCACTAAATTCAAAAGAATACAGTAATATAAAACCAGAAATAAATAAATAAGACATAATTTGTCTAGAAATTAGAAAATAAAATAGCAGACATAAATCCATATATGTCAGTTAGGGGTGGTGGTGCAGTCCCTGGATATGGTGATACATGCTTGCAGTCCCAGCTACTTAGGCACCAGAGGGAGGATCTACTCTGTCTCAAAACAAAAAATTCTTACCACATTATATAACACTAAATATCAAATGATGAAACAACATAATAAATGATATTGTTAGACTGAATAAATTAAATCCAACTGTATGCTCTTTACAAGAGATACACTTTAGATTCAAAGATACAAATAAGCTGATAAAAGCAACCAGAAGAGAGCACACAGAAAACAAAGTATATTTTAAAACAAAAGCCCATCAGTAGAGATAAAAAGGACAGTCTTTAAAGATAAAAGGGCCAACTGATGAGTCTATAGCTAATTATGAACATAATAAATGCACCTAAAAAGAGAGACTGAAAATATATGAAGCAAAAACTGACAAAATTAAAAAGAAAGACAATTCAACAATAATAGTTGGAAAGTTTGGTATAAAATTTCAATAATGGCTAGAAAAACTAGGCAACAGATAAACAGAAATTAGAAGACTTGAACAATACAATAAATCAACTAAACACAAAACACACATACAGAGCATTCTACCAGCAATAATACAGTAACATTTTTTCTCAAGTGCTTATAGAATATTCCATTGGTAGACAATATATTTGGTCATAAAATGACCCCCAATAAATTTAAGTGATCCTCTATAACTACAAAGGAACACAATTAGAAATCAGTAACAAAAAGCAACTTGGGAAATTCAAAAAATATATAAAAATTAAACATCCAATCCTAAATAACCAAATGGTCAAAGAAGAAATCACAAGGGAAATTAGAAAATATTTTGACATGAAT